ATGCAAAAGAAAGGCCAATGATGTTTGGCACTTTTCCCGACCTCAAAGCAACGTTGTTTCTGCATCATTTGCTATTGACTGCAACTCAGGCAACATCGCACATGCTGGTATTATAGTAGTCATACACACTGCTGCGTGTACGTCTACTAGTTTTGCTTGCATGAACAGTGTCGAATGGATCTCAGCTCTCTACCTTGCATTGTGAAAGAGATTGATCTGTATTCTCAGGATGAAGCTGGGTTTCGGAATCTTCTGCGATCATCGAGTTCGTAACTGTAGGAAGGTTCACATAACAATGGCAGCACAAAAGAAGTGTAAACATGATCTTGTTACCATTCTTTTTGAGGTACGCCTGCCTGTAAATACTTAGTATTGAAGCAAGAAAGTAGATGAGCAATCATGGCAGCACATGAGGAGCAATGCATATGATGCAGACAGTCGCTGGAAAAGTCAGAGAACACAAGTGGGAGAGCTATTTGCAGGACGTGTCCATCTCATCCATGTATTAGTCCATTCCGAAACAAAGACTATATCACAAGCGAGGCAAGTAAAGCAGCAGCCTTCTCTCATTCTAATATTAAGCAAGCAAGGGAATAAGAACAAAGTAAGTATCATTTTGTCTGGCATCTATAATATGGAACACCCGATCACTGTCGATGTATTCATGTTGTTGCACAATGATATGTAATTATTAAGGAAATGGTTCTTCCGAAACCCAAAAATTGCATGCAGAACTGAACTCTGCCGCCATAATTATAGAATTACAATCTATTGACTTGGCAAAATGTTAAGATGAAAGATTTTAGATTATTATCTTTTATTTTTTAAAATAAATTGATTAGATAATATTTTAGAGATAAGGATCTCTTAGTTTAAATTATTATTCTACGCTTATAAATAGACAATAATTATATACATACTTAGATCCATCAAAGTCTAAATGAAGTTCAATATATATATATAATCATCATCATCAGTATAGTAGGATGATTATGGAAGAAAGAGGCCCATGAGCACAACAATGGGTGCCTCGATAGCTATCATCCTAATTCATGTATGATGTTGATTAGTGACTTCATGCACACCAAGAAACTGGATGTGTTGAGGTCTCAGATAAGGGTCTCCATCAACACTGCTATTCAATTGGAGACATGACAGCAGGGGCCATTTCTTGGGAAACTGCAGGTGATATCAATGAAATGACTTTACAAGAATGGGTACTGGAGTAGGCATGGCTACAACGTCATATGATATTGATTGTTCTGTTGGTGACCAAGTATTAATGTGGAGTAGGTGAGACTCCGTAACCTTGCTTTGCATGTGTTTGTACCACTCTTCAATGGCCCATGCACAGGTAGCGTACGTCCAGTGGCAACTACAGGATGAAGGAAAGAGACCGAGCTCTCTACAAATGAAACCATGGATAGAAGACGCTGCCACGACCAGTTCGGCATGGAAATGGTCATCAAACCCGCATATAATATGTAAGTAGATAGGACAATCACATCCATTCACAGTCCTCGTTATTGACAAGTATGTAACCAGTGGCAGTAAGAGAAGCTTCAGCCACTCTCGTTCTCAAGCACAAGTTTCAGCAGGTCGCTCGAAGGAAATAATTATTGCAGAGGTCCTGCACATCTGGCATCGGTGATGAAGGTGCATGTGTTAGCTTGCGTACGTACTCCAAGCGAATCACAGACTACATTTCTCATCTAAATCCAACCATGTCGGTGCTCGAGATGCATGGCGTCAGAATCTGCGGATGCACAGAATCGCTTCATGCATTGAAGTCTCAAGTGTGCTACGTGGGGGATGATGGGGCATTTCTGGCTGTGATGTCTCGTGATGATGCTAAGAATTGTCCGTGCGTACAACTAGGTTGGACAAGGACTGCAGTGAGACTGTCGGAAACATCAAAGCGAATCACCAACCATCAATAGGACCGTGGATTTCTTCTTCCTAACGTAGTTTGCATCCGTTTTCTGTTTGTTCCTACTGTGTGAATGGCCTTCTTCTTTGGGTCGTCATGATGTGCGGTGGAGAGGATGCAAACACCAGACGAGATAATGGGAACAGGAATCCTGCCAACCTTGTCATGGAGATGTTGCAGGCATCTGTAGCTCCTGACATGGACCCAACAGGGAACAGGAACGGAGAAGAAGAACATTGTGGGAGTCCCGATTCCTGTTTTCAAGGTTTCCCGGTGTGGTCCTCGAAAGCAAAGGCTCCTGTCTACCTTAAATTAGCCAACGGCCCAGTCCTTGAAGCTTGCAGAGGGCTGTGGTCTTCAAGGGAGTAGGCAACACATTAATCGTTCGACAGTTGGTGGCCATCATCATCTTCACCTGCTATGGTGGATTAGAAAGAAGAAATCTAGTAACTTCAAATTGCTTCGGATGGAAACTGTGATGTATGCATTTAGATCTCTCAACTGGTTCTCTTGATCACATAGTGTGCTCACTTTGTTCTTCTTCCGTGAACTATATATACCTCATGTGGGCAATCCATTCTACCTCTTTGAAGAAGAAGAAGAAGAAGAAGAAGAAGAAGACATTCACAGACGGCGATGCCGACGATAACAACGACGAGAAAGAAGGGACAGCAGATAGCTACCGAGCTCGCAGGCTATACTCGCATAGAGCGAATGGGTTACAGCATCATCAGCATCCAAAGCAAGTGTTGCAGTACGAGGCACAGTGTCTGATTCTTGTGCTCCTTGAGGACCACTCGATAGTGCCAATTTGGGATCAGACAACGACCTGTGCAAACCCATCTCAAGAGTACACACTATTCCTCGTGAATAGCTTCTCATTCATTGTGCTCTCTGCCTGCATGGTACCATTATTTGGCTTTGTTTCCCCCACCGAGTGGTCCAAAAGCCAGCAACTTACCTTAAATCTTCATTACATGACAACAAACAATTGCCGCATGTTGATGCCTGACGAGTCTGGGAACTCTTTCTTCTATCTTCTGACAAAGGGAAGGATATCTCGGCTAGCGTTCAAAAGAAGAAAGGTAATTTTTTGAGCTCATTGACGACGCAAAGATAGATAGCTTTTTACTGAGATCTTTGAAGAGAATTAACAAAGTCACTGACTTAATCAAAAGATTTCCTTCAACTCCAATGCGATTGCATTGGAGCACTTGGGAGTGGGTGATGAGGTTTCGGCATAGAATCATGATAAGGATAACCAAGCCGTTCATACAAAAGCATTAAAGTAAACGTGAAAGTGAGATAAGAGAGCAAAGATGACATGATGCATACTATAGAGGAGCAATGTCTGATATTTTAATAGACACTGTGCTGGTCACAATCGCCACAGTCAACATACTGCGCGAACACTGCTGAAAACAACCTTCACCAGTTGAGTAAAGGTGACGACCTCATAGCTGCTATATGAATATGACATGTTAGCATTGGACTATGAACAGTGTTCCAGTACAATCCCGGTACTTGATGAAGTTGGTTTCTGATAGCCATAGAAATGAGAAGAAAAATCTCTCTGGTTCTTCCTTCAGCACCCAACTCAATTCAAGATAATATAATATTATGGAAACTGCATTTAATTAGTTGCAAGGACGAAGAAAAAGAAATATAAAGTAGTAAAAACAAAATGAAGTTGACTTGTTTGATTCATTCATCGATATTAATCTGCTGACTGAATTGATAGGGTAGAGTTGGATGTAGAAATAGTTTGACTTTTCAGGCAAAGTTATTTACTACAAGATTGACTTTATGCAAATGAATGGTGTATATAGACAGTTACTTCGAAATTAAGAATGTTGACCGAGTTTATGGAATTTAGGATATGCGTTGACTTGACTTCATTCATGTTACAGAAAAAGAGAAGAGACTGCAAAGTTGGGTAAAATGAGACAGCCAATCTAAAGCGGTTGCCGTTGGACGATCGTTTCCAAAGGTTTGACAAGATCAAACCCCATGCAAGCTGCTTGCATCTGACTCATCCAAGCTTAGCTTCTTAATTGATGATCAAAAGTATAGTATGATTACTGGTAATTAAGAGAAACATTGTGGCAAGAAAGATTCCAAGCTTAGGAGGTTTAGAGGTTTGGGCATCAAAAGGCTGAGCTCTCCATGGACACCATTTGCTGTAGCCTAGCATGCATGTGTTTGGATTCTGATACAATGGGCAGAGCTACATATGGTTTGCTTGGAGCAGCTGTAGTACGAGTGGATTCTCTGGAGAAACTGGTTGCTCCAGATTTAGATTTATCGGGTTGTAGGAACGAGTTGATTGATGCAGTGCATGGACACAGAACCCCACTTGGAGACACGCAACAAAGGAGACATTCGACCGCTGTTCTGAACCCACATTTCAATCACCTCCACGAGATCCCTGCGAAGAAAACATGTTAGATTTCTTAGCCTTCCCCCCCTACCCACCTCCATGTCATGCTAGGGTTCTGGCGCATGCACCTTTCTGTGCATGGGAGGGACTGTGAGAGATGGGTAAGTCCATCTGAAATCTAAAGAAACAAAAGAGCAACATTTCCATGGTGTTGTTGTCCCTTTGCTTTTTGGCGCATGCAATTTCCTATGAGACTTTGGCATCAGAGAAGGCCAGGGTAGGGCAGGGCAGGCCATGTTCATCAGCTCTACCACCACCACCCACCACCCACCACCATCAGCAACAGAAGCAGCAAAGCTCAGGGGGGATGCATTCAGAAGGCATGGTCCACACTCGTGAAGCCTCTTCCTGTCCACTTGCATCAGGGTCAGGTCCCACCCCACCATTCCAGACTTGCACCGTCTCTTCTCACCTACACACTCATCCAAGGTAAAGAGAGCTTTACTCCCCCCCCTCCTACTTCCCAATAACCTTGTTCCACCATCACTTGGTGTTGACCGAGCATGGCATGAGATATATCATATGCAAGCTAGCTAATAATCTAATAATAATCTAATAATAATCACTCCATTGGCTCTATATATCAACCCTATACAAACCTAATTAATTACTTGTACCGCTGACACTCTTTTATGTCTTTCTTTCTCATCTCTTTCCTTACCTCCCAAGCTTTCGACTATCACATCAAGCTCAAACGTCCTATGGAGACTAGCGGCTCGGAGCAGGTTTGCAGCGAGACCGAGAAGCAGTCTCCTCCGCCACGGCCATCTCCGGGGGGCTTGCTGCGTCTCGGCAGTGGCACGAGCGTCGTCCTCGATCCCGAGGTCATACTCGAGGCCAAGCTACGGAAGCTGCCGTCTTCCCAGTACAAAGGCGTCGTGCCACAGCCCAACGGCCGGTGGGGGGCGCAGATCTACGAGAAACACCAGCGGGTCTGGCTGGGAACCTTCAACGAGGAAGACGAGGCCGCGCGGGCGTACGACGTGGCGGTGCAGCGGTTCCGCGGGCGCGACGCGGTCACCAACCTCAAGCCGCTCGTCGTGACCGACGGCAACGATGCGGCGGAACTCCTGTTCTTGAACTCGCGCTCCAAGGCCGAGATCGTCGATATGCTACGTAAGCACACCTACTACGATGAGCTGCAGCAAAGTAGAAGGAACTCCGGCGCCGACAGGAGTAAGCCTTGCCCTTCCCACGAAGAGACATTCGGTCGAGTGTACAGGGAGCATCTCTTCGACAAGGCCGTGACTCCCAGCGACGTCGGGAAGCTGAACAGATTGGTGATACCGAAGCAGCACGCCGAGAAGCACTTCCCGCTGCAGCAGACCAGCGATGCCGCCTGCAAGGGGTTGCTGCTGAACTTCGAGGACGCCTGCGGGAAGGTGTGGCGGTTTCGGTACTCCTACTGGAACAGCAGCCAGAGCTACGTGCTAACCAAGGGCTGGAGCAGGTTTGTGAAGGAGAAGGAGCTCAGAGCTGGCGACGTCATCACCTTTCAGCGGTCGACCGGCCCCGAGAATCAGCTCTTCATCGGTTGCAGGAGACGATCCGTCGGCAGATACGCTGCCGCAGGGGTTCACGCGCCCACCACTCCCGTCGAGGCGGTGAGGCTCTTCGGAGTAAACATAGTTAAGATTCCGGTGGCCGTCAGCGGCGGTGTGATGGACGGGGACGGTATCGGTTGGAATGGGAAGAGGAGCAGGGACATGGGTTTGATCTCATCAAGGGAGCTGTTCAAGAGGCAAAGCACACAAGCTTTGTAGTGTTGGCTCTTTGATTTCCAATCCGTCGTGCAATATGTCCGATTACTATGAAGAGTTAGAATCTTTGGTGAAAGGATTGGAAACATCAGCTGCAAGGAAAGAAAAAGGAACAATAAAAAGAAGGCGTTGCTTCAATGTTGTCGACCACATATAATTGCGTTTCTATCCATCTTAATCGATCGATGCATCTCATCTTTGTTTTGCTTCCCAAAGATCATTGTGTTCAGCAGACGAGTCATGCTAATGCCCTGCCAGAGTATGAAGGTAAACCCGCACGATGCAAGCATGGGAAACGGGGACATGGTATTATTCTCTGCAACAAAAGAGGAGGACAATCTCTTAAATATGTTTCATGTTGTACATGCACGAGGAAAGAGGTGCTGCATTTGATAGTGTCTCACGGACGAGTCAACTCTGGCATCATCCATGAAGGATCTGAGCACGAAATAAAGAGAAGGAAATGGCATCTCGGAGGATATGTTCTATGAATGTGTTCATGTTGATGTCCGATGGTAATCTCCATATGTATTCTTAATTACAAGATAAAGGCGAAGAAGTTTTGCGTTGGTGCAAGTCATCTATGTTCGGTGCATATCTCGAGTTTCTACAAATCTCATCTTGTCTTGTGTCAAACATTGGATGATTGATGTTGATGGTGGCCAAGTGAGTCGTCTCTTTGCTCCACCTGACATGATTTTTTTATGAATTAGTATCGTACTTGTTCTTAATCTAAACAAATGTCTTGAAACAGTCTTGACTTTTCCAACTTAATCGTAGCATACAGATGAAAAGAAATAATTCGTGGGATCAAACAGTGCAAGATTGATGTCGTCTTCGAAACCAATGAAGATAGGGAAAGAAAAAAGGCACCTAATTAAAGAACAGCATGAGATAAACGTATTATGTCTCACAATTAATAGCAACATGATTGCATTCGTGCTGACACAGAAGATGAATCACATACAGATAAATATTAATTAGTTAAAGATTTAAATTATGGTTTGCAGAGATAACAATGAACCGAAATATGTATGAGTAATCAATAATGGCATCCAATTTGATCACTTGCTTATCAAAACCAATTTTACACTCAAATTTAAAAAAAAAATAATAATAAAAAAATTATTTCGACATTCTAATACCTTCACATGTTTGCACTTCTTATTCTTAATTAAAAAATATTATTAAAATATATTTTTATTGCTTGATATTCAGAGTGACCCAAATCCAACCGTGACCTTTTTTTTTTAAATATTATCGATAAAATTAGATAAAACATCGAAACGAAGACCGACAAAAATACATTGGATATGTACCTAATAAAACTCCTTCCATGCTTTAGTTATTAAAGGATTTAGATGACTCAATATATACCAAGTTTTAGAAAGATTAATTTAGATTAGAAATGAGTAATCTAGTGATTTGAATTGATAAGTGGTGTTTCTTTTCTTTTATGATAGTGTACATAAGGTCTTTTATAGTATGATGAAAACCGTAATACATTAATTTATATCGATAAGAACTAGAGGCATAATTGTTGGATTATATGCTCGTTTTAGATTGTGTGTTGCGTTTTGATATTCTTTTATCGCTAAGGTGTTAATGATTGAGTTATGAATAACTTGTTAAGGGTTGATTTGCTCATATAAAATATATAAAATAAATTTTTTAATTTCAATATATATTGTTTGGGACGATACATAGAAAAGATATCGGTACACGGATTATCCCTTACTAGGCGGTATTAGTGCTTTGATCAATACCGAGATATATTGATAGATACCATCATAGATTTTGATCATTACCGAGGCACCACGCTACATATTGGTACGTCGATACGAATTAATATTTAAAACCCTCATATAAATCATTACAAAACCAAGATAAAAAAAAACCATTACTCTCCTATAAAACCAAGGATTTTATACAAAAATATAAATAAAATATTGATTTTTTAAAAATTTAAGTAAGGATATAATTTCCTTTAAAAACTCGATCGTAGCGCAAGTTGTAATTATTGCGGCTCCGTTACGAAATTTTACTCGTACAAAGGATGTATTTGCAAAGATGCGACGAGACTAATATGCAAATACGATTAGTATAAGGGTGTGTACGAATGCGATAGGGAGCCAAACTCAAAAAAGACCAAGAAAATTGGAGCGAAAATAAAAAGGAGGATGGCGATTTCTTTCTCCTCGTTCTCATCCTCTGCCGCTTTCGCCGTTGGCGAGTTCGGAGACCCTAGGCCTGATGCCGATCTCGCGCAATGGTCGCCCGTAATCGCGGCGGCGTCGGCGGTGGTATTGGTGGTGGTATTCGCCGTCCGATGGTGGTGCTCCGCCGGCCGTGGACCACGGTCGTCGTCCTCGCCCTCCTCGCTGCCTCCTTCGTCTCCCCACTCCTCCTCTTCCTTCGCGTCCCTGCGGCCGAAATCTTCCTCTCTCACGGTGATCCCATCTTATGTCGCTGCGCCCTTTCCTTGATCAGTTGATTTGTTTACTAGTTATATCGAGGGAGCTTTAGGTGATTCTTGTCGGATTATTCGATGCAGCAAGGAAGGAGTCCGACAGGGAGGGCAACGGCATTGTGAAGAATCTATCCCCTGTATGATTCACTCTGTGTTCTACGCTTTTTCCCTTCTTATCCCTTTTGAATCTTTGTTGTTTCATGGATGTGTTCTTTATATTGTGTCTGAGTGCAGGTGCATGCATCTAATTCTATGCAGCTCAACGCGATCGAGCAGGTGTTTGCTTTATTGTATATAGACATATGATTGCCTCTCGTTATCTCTGTTTCCTTTGTGGTTATACGGCTGGTTGTTTACCGTTTTCGGGGTTTCAGGAAGTTGGTGGCGGAGTGAAAGAGCCGAAAGGAATTATCTACAACGACGAGGACTTGACGGACGTTCAGAGTACATATAGTGAGAACGTAACGACTTCTGGTGTAGCAAATGGTAGTTCTATGGAAATTTGCTCATTGATGTTTTTCATGTTCTTTTTTGTATTTAGCTTGTCAATCTATGCATCTAATGTTTATTAGATCTGTCAATTTCTTTGTCTCCTTGTGTCTTGAAGACCCCAGTTCAAGAAATAGTGGAGGAGGTGAGGATCATCAAAATCGTTTGTTAAGTTCTGCTACCGGAGAGGTACTTTTTTCAATGCAAGGAGAATTCTTACATATACTTACTGTTTGAGATTTGAAGAAGCCGCTAAATGATTGCTTTTGTTCTTTTATTCTGTTTCATTGCATTCTCAAAATCAGTTTTAGGTTATGGAAGTGGATGTTTACCTGATTATATGTGTGATAACTCATGCAATATTGTCAAATGTGCAGTTTCACAGTTTAGGTTTTCAACTTATTTGTTGCTTATGGGGCCACACGAATGGTGCTCATAAGCCTTAAAGTGTTGTAGTATCACAAACATTGTTAGCACTTTTTTCGTAAGGTGTATTAGTCCTGAAATGATTTGAAAATAGTATATTATAATCATTTAAGTACCATTGCTATTGGTAGAAATTCATATCCTCAGCATGATTGAGCTAGAGGCTTTGTTCTTGCAAATGAAACTTATACAGCCGGAATAGCTGTATGACTTGCTTCAGCAACGAGATTCAAATACTATATCTGCATCCTGTTTAAGACAAATTTCATAACTCTGTAAAGAACATGTTACTAAGTACCTTTACCTTCACTGCACTAGATAAGATTGTCTTAGTTATAATGCTACGTATTCTGGTGGACAATCTTAATTTGAATCAGGGTTTGAACTTTATAAAGCATATTATAATTGAATGTTGACATACTTTAAAGTTTAGGTATGGCATATCTGCTACCACCAGCAGTTGTAATAGCAAATCACAATAATATATCTTTTTTCAAACTCTTTGGTATTAATTAGACACTGATGATATTCTTTTTTGTCAATTGTAACTAATTCTTACTTTGTTTTTCTCTCTCCTAAAAATAAATTACTTTGTCTTACTGGTGCATTTATGTTTTGTTTTCTTTATAACGTCATATAACACTACTCATGTTATTATTGTACTTGTTCTATCTTCGACAGCTATTTTAGGTAAAGGAGAAATGCCTAATAGTCGAAAAATAGAGTTATGACTACAATTTTGATTCACTCACCCCTTTTTGTTTCAACCATTTTTCTGTTTTTTATTTCAAGAGAACTTCCTCCAAAAGTAAGCATATACTAATTAATGCTGATCTCTGCCTATTGAGTAACAACTGGATCCTAATAAAATTTAAATGACCAAGCCTCCAAAAGATAAACCAGCGAGTTGTATTGATGCCAGTCTTAGATCTTTGTTGGATTAAACTGTTGAAGTGCTTCTGTAAACATGTAAACTTCATGGTTGTTTCTGTTTTTCAATAGGATAACAAGCAGGGACCATCCAACAGAACTAGTGGTGAAACTAAAAGTGGTTTGCCCCCTCAATCATCCACAACTGAGAAAATATTGGAGATGGAGGATCAGATAAACATGGCAAAGGCATACTTGCTGTTTTCTTCATCCAATAGTAAATCTCACTTAGTACGAGAGCTAAAAATTAGGATAAAAGAGATAGAAAGGGTTCTTGGTCGAACCAACAAAAGTTCAGACTTATTCATGAGGTACAATATTCATTTCTAAGTTAATAAAGTTGACTGAAGCATTATTATCCATATAAATTAATACTGTGGCAAAAGGGCTTCAATGTGCTATGAAATGTTCTGATGCATGGAAGTTACCAATTTCTTTTGACTGAGAATGGAACTTGTTCAGTGATTTACAGAAATTGGAAGCCATGGAAGTAACTCTGTCCAAAGCTAGAAAGACTTATCCAGATTGCTCTGCAGTGGCATCAAAACTGCATGCGCAGTTATACAATGCTGAAGAACAGCTTAGGGCACAGAAGCACCAAGCTTCATATCTTATTCATCTTACAGCCAGGACCTTCCCCAGGGGTCTTCACTGTCTATCCATGCGTCTCACCACCGAGTACTTTGCATTGCAGCCTGAACAGAGAAAGTTGCCTAACAGTCAGAATGTGCATAAATTGGCTCTCTATCATTATGCTATTTTCTCCGACAATGTTCTGGCATGTGCAGTGCTTGTGAACTCAACAACATCTACTTCCATGGTAAAAGTTTCCTCTTCTCTGTGTGCATACAATTTCCAGTTATCTATGTGGGCATGGATGCATGAGAAATTGAAAGTAATATCACATAGGTTTAGCTCTTCTGGAAATTTGAACTAGAAATTAATTGGGTGATTGGCTAGGCTTGCATACTGTGTGGCTGCACTATTTGGCAATGTGAAACTGTTTAAATTCTGGTGCATATGCAGGATTAATTGCCATCGACTATATTTATGTACACCTTGATTATGTTTGTACATATGCATTCTGCTTAAATGGTAGTGCATATTGTAACTTTTTAATGGCTATCACGAGAAACTTGAATTTTCATCTTGGGATTATTTATAGCCCTTTTCATATGTTAAGTTTTCTTTATGATCCCTTCTTGTGTCCTGTAGTGCATATCACAACAGAATAACCTCTAAACATTTAATTGAGGTTAAGTGAGGATTTCTGTATCTTCACTAGGTCTTTCATTCAGTTTGAATCTTCTAATATGAACTAATTATAGAGAAATGATGACAAAAGGAGAGAAACCAAGTCATGGAGTTCGATTCAAACCCGTTCTTTTTACACGTTTTAAGAGATGAATAAGATATTTTCTGTGGTGGTAGATGACCCTTGTTTTGACATAGTATGGAATTTTAGGTTGGTAGCTCTGTTTTACTTGCTGTACATTAACAATATATATATTTTTTAATTTGTTAGTATTTCTTTTAGATTCTTCTAATATTCAGATCTTTTGGTTTGTTATTAGTAAGCATTGAACTCTTGAAATATGTTATTCCCATAGAAATCTTAGCCTTAGCACCCAAGCATTGGTTAGACACATCACGTCATACCCAGCACCCCCAGAATAGTCTTTTAGAACATTATTAAGAAGTTACCTATTTTCGAATATGGATGTATCATATTGAGCAACAGGATGTGCCTTGGCTCATTTTCAGCTAGCTGGTGAAATTGCTTCTTGTGTGCTTTAGGAAGTCTTCTGGTGTTATGCCTTGACTGCCATGCACAAACACTAGTTAAATCATAATTTTATTAATCTAATAAAACAGTAAGTTGGCAGTGTATCAGGTAAACTAAATTATTTTGTTACAATCACAGTGCATATGCTTGAAAATTTTACTTTTAGCCCTTTTGCAGGAACCAGAGAAAATTGTCTTTCATGTGGTAACCAATTCCTATAATTTTCCAGCAATGGTGATGTGGTTTTTATTGAATCCTCCTGGAAAATCTACCATTCAGATCCAGAGCTTGGATGATTTCCGATTCTTGCCTGCTGGATTCAGTTCGTTTTTTGTGCAGTCAGCTAAAGCTGATCCAAGATATACTTCACCACTCAATCACCTTCGCTTCTATCTGCCAGAGCTCTTCCCCTTGCTGAACAAGATTATGCTTTTGGACCATGATGTGGTTGTGCAAAGAGATCTCAGACGATTGTGGAGTGTGGATATGAACGGGAAAGTCAATGGAGCAGTGGATATCTGTAGGGACAACAAGACATCACATAAATTGGAAACACTTGTGAACCTTTCGGATCCAGTCATAGCAAATATTTTTGATGCCAAGGCTTGTTCATGGGCATTCGGCATGAACATATTTGACCTGCAGGAGTGGAGAAGACGAGGTTTAACAGGAAGTTACCACCACTGGAAGCAACTAGTAAGTAGTATTGCTTGTATGTTTCTTGTTCTATATCTTCTTTTCTAAATTTATATCATCATTAGCATGAACAGTTATTAATTGGTGGAGTCTGGTGGTGCTTTTACGGATTCATACGGGCATTTTTAGTAACTATTTTGCCTTTTCTCCTTGAGTACTTGTGGAAAGTTTTAGTTGATGATATTTAGGTTGTAGTAGCGGAGAGACGTCTATCTTGGTCAATATGGAGGTTTGATGGATGCATACTGTAATTAGTAATGATCTTTGACTCACCTAAAATCTCACTGGGTTTGTGGATCTTAACATTAGGCTAAAGAGGTCTACAAATTGTCATGCTGTAAATAAGACATTTGACCCATGGTTTCATGCACATGGGCCATTTATCCTGTCAATCTTAACAGGCCATTCAGAAGTTGAATTGGTGAATGGAAAACCTTAAAGAGTCATGACGAGAGAAATTGTTTGGACTTGCTCCTGTCTGTTCCTGAGGATCTATCACACTGCAGGAAAATAGCAAGCAGCCATGGAAAGCAGGAAGCTCTCTGTTGGGCCAGTTGCTCTGCTACAACCACACAATGACTCTGGACAGGCAGTGGCACGTTTTGGGGCTTGGTCGTCATTCAAGCGTCAGGAGGTCAGAGATTGAGAGGGCAGCAGTAATACACTACGACGGAAATATGAAGCCATGGTTGGATGTTGCACTTGCAAAGTACAGAAAATATTGGACCAGGTTTCTTGACTACAGTAACCCCTACTTCCAACAATGCAACATCCATGAGTAGTTAACCGCAGGTTAGCAGTCTTCTTTTCAGCTGATAGTTGATATTATTTGGTTCTTTTACAGTGTACATGAGCATCTTTTTTCCTACCTATGTTTTTCCTCGACACTACATTCCTTGATGTAAATCTGCCTTTGACATTTTCTTATTTTCCACACAGCCTTGTTGGCATTATTTATTTATTTCTTTATTTTTTGCTATACCATGCGGAATAAACAGATGGTTGAAAGGTTATATATACTGGAAAATGATGCCATTTTTCTTAATACACTTGCTTGTGCAGTTGCCTACCATGAACTATAATTGTGTATCAATTCTTGTACTTGTACTTGCACTGTTGCACCTTTAGTTTTGATTTCAAGTACGAATCATCACAACAATTGTTGCAATAACCTCATCAAGTTTCCTAAGTACTCGAGGTTGTAATCAGAGGTAAGGACGAGGCAAGGGATCGTTTTCTTTTCTTATCTTCTTATATGCATCAATCGATCGTGTTAAGATCTACAAGGGACTAATTAAAGATTACCCTCTATAGTTAGTTATCTTTAGAATTTTGATTCTTATATTTTTAAGAATTACATTGAGATTTTTATACTTATGAAAGTGAAATATTTAATCTCGTTTCTTTCCACGTTGTCAAATCTATTGAAGGAAATATCGCATGTGCGAAAAATAACACTAAAATAAGGTTTAAAAGGTAATTTCGTAATACTATTTTTATTGATATTAATTTTTTTTATGTAACTTCTGTAAAAGTAACACCAGAGAGATATTTTCTATGGAGTCTTTCACTTTTTAACAAACTCTTCAAAGACACAATTTTTTTTTCTTTGGACGATGAGAATAACACTTTGAAATTACTTTTTAAACCTTGTTTTAGTGTTAGTTTACGGATGCTAAAGATAACTAATTACAAAAAATAATATATAATTAGCTTGATCTATAGAAAATTAAAAAAGATTAATTAATTCTCAGGAATTAATTAATCTATATGTTTAGTGTTCAAGGGTGCAATTCTCGCTTGCCTCTACGAATGTTCCTGTGAAATTTCTTTTACATGCGTTGTAGAATATGTTAGCATGTCTAACGTTTCCCAACCCATGTTCAAATGTTTCTTCTCTTGTTCCGCAGAACAGAAATGTCGAAGGTCTGCAAAGTTTGATTGAAACTGAAGTGTAGAATGGAACAACTGTTCCCTGTAGAATGGAGCAAGAGGAAAGCCTGCAGGAATCGAGTGTTCAGTTCATGCAAACTCCTCCATCAGAAACAATCTGCTATATAAGCCGCTTTATTCTCCCCTTCCTCTTCCCACATGCTCTACAGCATTGCTGGTGACTACTCCTTTCGCTTCCATTCCGCTTGACATGTCGCTTTGCTTCTCGTTTTGCCCCATGGTCTGGTGCCGCCGCCCTCCGGTCCGTCCGACTGGACTCGCGACCTTAGCGTTCGTTACTAGCAAGAATTGCCCCATTCCCCCAAGCTCTCCAGCTTTCGGCACCACGAATACGAATCTACAGATGTAAGCAAATGCAATAAATGAGCTGCTGTTGCAGCTGATTCACATTTTGCCGCAGCACCCAGCCACTATTCTTGTAATCATCATGAATAGTAGCACCGAGGAAATGAACAAATCCTCATCGACGACCGTCCCACTACACGCAAGCCTCGGTCGTCAAGAGAATAAGGACAAGCAGAGATGGGAGTCCAGCTGCGGGTCGGCATTGTGGCCAACAATGCCAACCCTTTTGTCCTTTTCTTAGTACCGTAAACTCACAGATTCTTCTCACAGTTCAGGAAATCCCACCACCAAAAGGCGAGGAGAGGGAAAAATATGTGGAGGCCAAGCCATAGCAGGATCGGTTTCCTGTCCCATGTTCTGACTAGGACAGCTACGCCTCAACCGCCCCAGGTTGCGTGTACTTAGCCGGCGCCGCCGAATCCACCCTTTTGCGAGGCCACTCCTTTTCCGCTTCGTACCACTAACTTAACTCCCCACGCACGCATCCCCTCACACGTATACATTATTTTTTTGGGCATCTCTTCCACCCTAATAATCCTGTGGTTGGTAAAACAAACCCCCTCTCTCTTTAACACGCCCCCAATCGCTCACGCGCCTCCCTGCCGTTACAACGCCACCCCTCACGTTCACTTCCTTTGGGAAACGGTAGCCATAGCGGGGCCCACCGGGAATCCCGGCCGTCACCACGGCGACGTGTCGACCGTTCGCAACCCACTTGCTACGTCACCGGACCTCGCGCCCCGGACCGCATCGTGGTCCATGCCAAGTTTCCGTTACCCACGACACCTACCTCCGTTGTTTCGGCAGCGGGAGGACGCCCCGGCCGCACGTGCGGAAAGCAATGCGAAAGGATTCGAAGAAAGCGCTGCGAGCTGCCACAGCGACGCGGCAGGCGCATGTGCGGGCGCCGGTCATCGGCGTACTACGCACACGGCGTCGCCAGCCGTCTGATCGTTCGTGCGGCACGGGAGAAATCACCGCCGTCGAATAAATCCGCCTATTAAGATAATAATAAATTAATAATTACGAGGAGATATACATGTCGGGAGGAACAGAGACGCTCCGGTTGCGCTATAAATACCCGGCTCACCCACCTCCTTTCCCTTGGACCCCTCTTGTTGTTCGCCTCGATGATGGCGGTCGAGACGTTGCGGCTGAGGAAGGAGGGTTTGGGGCCGCCGGCGGCAGCCGCGGTGGCTGGAGGGGAAAAGGAGGCCCACTTCCGCGGTGTGAGGAAGCGGCCGTGGGGAAGGTTCGCGGCGGAGATCCGAGACCCGTGGAAGAAGACGAGGAAGTGGCTGGGGACCTTCGACACCGCTGAGGAGGCGGCGCTGGCCTACGACGCGGCGGCGCGTACGCTCCGTGGGTCCAAGGCCAAGACCAACTTCGGGTACTCCGCCGCTGACGTCGAGATCGTTCCCGCCGCCGTGCCGGAGCCGCAGATCGGCTGGCTGTCGTCGTCGCCGTGGCGATCGGGCTTCCGGGAACCTGCAACGGCGTTGAACGGGCGAGATCTGTTCCTGGGGCAGCCGGGTTTGGCGGTGGAGAGCGGATCCGAGTTCTCCGGGTACCGATTCGAAGCGGTGAAGATGGTGGTGAAGGGCGAGCAGGAGAGGAGGGGGACGGTGGCGGAGGGTAAGAAGAAGCCGCCCTTCTGCTTCGATCTCAACCTACCCCCTCCGTTCGTGTGACGGAGATCGATCGCCTCGGATCCATGTCCGGGGGTTTTTTTTGTCCTGTAGTATTTACCTGTCCTCGTCTTCTTCGGTTCCCTCTCTCTTGTGACATATCCCGACATCTATTATGCCCCTTCCTCGCTGCGACTGAAGCTTCCGATCAAACGCTGGTTTGCGATTCTGTATGTAAACAACAGAAGCCGACAGAAGATTACTCGGGGCGAGTTGAATCACCTTTCACTCGCCGGGCCGAGTCGTCCGGTCCGGTACCGAGTTGCCGAGAGGTGATGTCACACCTTGATGGACGGAATTGCCATCGGATATCTTTACCGTTGTTTTTCATTTACGAGGGTATGTTACAGAGTGGAGTCCCGCATGAATGGGAGGGCTTTCCCGTCATTTCACGGAAGGGTATTTTTGACAATGCATAAGTTCCAGTAGTGTCTTCCACGCAACGACTCGAAACGGCGGCCCGTGTGCGGCGTCTAAAAGCTGAGCGAGGAGTTTGGAGAAGCGGCTGATCCATCTGTCGATCTAACGGGGCACGTGTCGGTCGCGAGAGTGATAGAGAGTGGTCTTCGCGTTGGCCCATATAGCCGCCCCGGCACTCGCGGGTCGCTTGCCGTTTGTCGCATCGGCATGCACGTGTGGTGGCGGCCGTTCCCACCGGCCCATCCTTTCCTTTCTTTCTCGTGCCGGTTTGTTGTCCGCATGTGTCGGCCATCGTCGATCTGTTGCGGGAGACGACGACAAAGTGGAAGAATCCGATTCGTTGTCTCCGATGCGGACGAGCGAGATGGGTGTCACGTTTGTGGCGGCAGGCCGTAATCGGGGAATCTGTGACGGTGGGGCCACGATGTGCATTCACGTGTCATTGCGAGAGCATATTGCAAAGATGGGTCCACCGGCCGAAGAAAAAGGGTCTCTTGGGGGGGGGGCAACCGATCCCGCATCTCAAAGCCAATAAAGAGGTGGCGTGACAGTCACTGGGTATTGTGATCGGGAAGCTTTCCCTGTTTATCCTCCCGAAGCTCTTCCTTGTTATCCTCTTCGTCGACGTTGGGTACTGTTAACTCTTAATTACCGCTGCTTTCGGGGCTGATGCCAAGGCTGAGGACACATCAATTCGTCTGTGTTAATTATGTAGATAACATCTTTTAATAAATTTACTTAATTATAATTATGACTTGTGTTCGGTCACCGAGGGAATGTGAGACGATATGTCAGTTTATTTATTTTGGATGACTTTATCGTCCCGGCACAAATAGGTAAGCTCACCATCCGGTGACACTCGAGGATTCTCCGGTCGTGAGGTCTCGGGTAAGCGCACCTTCCCGAATCAAGAAGACAATTCTAGAAAGATGTGAGGCCCGTTTCGGTAAACGCACTGGATGGACTACCAGCTTGGGCTGCGGTCACCGGCAGGAAGAATAAGATTCCGAAACTCGCGTGACGTGAGGCTAAAAATTTCTTTTTTGGGCTGCTTTGACATGCCACCTGTACGAGGTAAGATCACTGACGGGTGGTCAAACCCCCCACCCTTTATTATTATCTGTTAACTCTCCGTTTAAGTGACGGTGGAAATCTATTTAAGAAAAAATATTATTGATATCTTGATTAAATTGACATAGTTCAGATTTATATGAATAAGATTGTTTGATGTGCCTCTAAGATAAAAATGATAAGCTTTTAAGATTCGATAGACACGAAGAACGAGATTACAAGAGGTTTCTCGGATCGCTCCGGTCTAAGTTAATAATCCAAGATGTACCAAGTTTACGATGGCTTTGAGCGTATATTTTTAAGGAAGTGAAACTCAAACTTTCTAGTGAGTTGAATAAAAAGACTAATAGAGAGTCGCTTCAGACGGGTGTATCATTCTCGTACTAGGTTTCTTAATGAAGTTGGGAAGGCATGACACGTCAAGGCATCTGAAATGTTGTATACTGATATTTGGGCATGAAAAACAATGGTATGATCCAATAGGTCGGTATTATAGGAGGCACGACTCATCAAGGTGTCCGAAATACTGTTTAACGACATTTGGGTGCAGAAAGCAATGGAGTGCTCTAAGGGGTCAGTATTACTATCAAAGGCTTCCATTGATGGGAGATAAAATTTGAACTAGATCAGCTCCCCTAGATGCTCTTAGTAAATGACAATTGATCTGAGGTGGGGTTGGCCAGCCTTTCCTCTTTGGATTGTTGAAATTTTTATCGCATCTCTTCCAAAAGTTAGTCCATTTGCCGTAGCCAAATCCTTATAGAATCATCCGTTGAATTTATCGATTGGGCTTGGGATTCAAGTGGAATATAGTAGTGGTGTGGCAGTCCATCGAATTCCATGGTTGGGGAACAAGGTACTTCCTCGACCGATGGTTTGATGGGCCTTAAGCACTCTTGAGATGTTGGTGTTGCATTAAATGAGGGAATCTCGACGAGTGCCATTGCCGATGGTGGTTGAGCTGCTAATCGTGATAGAGATGGTTACGTCGCTTATTGAGATATATCTAGAGCAAGAGCGAAATAACAATATGCATCATGCTTATTTGTGTTTGCACCTATTGAGTGAGGTTCAAGAACGTTTCAGCATGGACGAATAAGGAGTCGCCCTCGAGTTATTGAATAGACACTAGTATCACATCGATATTTATGCCAAGGTGGATGCATCCATGTGTGGCAAGGGAGGCTGCTACCCCTCTCGAGTGAAAGTGTTGTGGTCGAGGGTAAGGCCTCCTTGCTCGAGCGTTTGTTAAGAGGGTTGGTAGACGAACGTTCCTACAACATCGAGCCCTCCTTCTAGCGCCAAAGACGCTAGTATCATGTCGACATTTACGCTAAGATGGATGCATCCATATGTGGCAAGGAGGTTGTTGCCCCCTCTTGAGTGAAAGTATTGATTCGAACTCGTATGCATAGGATTATCTGAGATGCCTCTGAGATGAAAATGATAAACTTTTAAAATGGCACCTATACGAAGATCGAGATCGAGAAAAATTTCTCGACTGATATCTCTAATGTCAATAACCCGAGATATACAAGTATAAATGCAAATAATCCAAAGAAGTTCATTTTCTTTATATTAAAGACAAACTTTTATACTTAATTGTAAAAGATAAAAAGAAAATTTAGAATTATCTTTTTAATAATAATAATAATAATAATAAAATTTATGATTACCTTTCTAATCATAAATAATAAGAAAAAAACTTATAATTATTCTTCTAAAATGACAACGTATCTCCTGTCAATGTATAAGCTTTATTTAAAATTTTAAAATTTGATCATTGATGATCTTTTACCATCGTTTAAATTTGTAAAAAGCAGATTCAAATTAAAAAAATATAATTTTGTTTTTTCCTCTCAAATTAAGGGTTCATTTCACAAGGAGCATCGGCTTTTACTTCTCATAAACCTTCAACTAAAACAAAAGGTGGAATAATGACAATCTGTTGATGCAAAGACCAGATGACGTTCGTGAACTCGAATAACGCAGCAAAAGCCAGAATTCTGCATGAATATGACACTCATGTCACCTGCCACGATTTGGGCAGGCGTTTGCGAAATGTGAGGGATCACCACACACGAAGCAGCTTCCAGATACTGGCTCGCCGGTTGCCGATACGAATGCAACACCATTAGTAGGTGCATCTCGCCGCCCCCGGGCGCGACCACCTCTCCTCGCCGTGGAAGATGACCTGCCGTTTCCCCCACGGGATCCACCATGTCCTCGTGTTCCACCATCTTCCAAACTGTCTGCCCATCTGCATTCCAGAAAAGGATGAGATTGATTACTTTCGTCCACCCAAAAGGATTCTGGAGGGAAGCACAAGAGAAATCTTGTGTAGCTGAGTTAAATAAGCTTTCAGAGGGGTGGTTGAGGTGGCAGGCATGAAACAGACAAAACACACCTAACCTTCATCGAGTCACTAAAGAAAGCATCAGATGCTGCGAACCCACAGAAACCATCATGAAAGAGATACGTACACGAAAAAGCCGCATTCTTGTGATTGGCAGGTGTAGAACTTCCTTCCTCTATTACTTTCTGTATTAGCAGTTCGCAATGCACAAGTTGCTCCACATGAGTTACACTGGACTTCACCTGCGTTTAATAAATATGTGAGCCAAGATTACTGTTCCACTGTACAAGCATATAGATGAAGTAACATTAACTATCTAAGACCCTTTTTAAGTATCATGATCAGCAAGACCTTTTGAGCCAACTGTTAATTGACTGCACTCATTCAGTATAGCTGAATTTTAAGGAGTAAGATATTTTATAAATTGAAGTGGAGAAAGAAATTCACAGCTGGAAGATTTTGCAAGCCGGATTACTGGAGATATTTGCAGGAAAGTAAGAAATTTTTGGCTTGGTTGTTGATAATGCAGTGGTACTCAGCCCAATTGCAGGCAATGGAACAACCCAAAGATAAACGACAGATCATGCTATCAGACATATATATATATATATATACACACACGCGCACGCACACACCACAATAAAAAAAAGCATCAATTGGTAACATTTGGTGCTTTGACCATGCTATTAGAAACTTCTAAGTCATGGATGAATGATTGCTAATGGTTACAAGTTCAGCTGCTAGTACCTACCACAAATGTATTAAGTCAACACGAGCTGGTCATATTGCAAAATAAGCAATGAAGACTTACCAGTAACTTCAATTTAATCTAAACCACAGGTGTATGTTATAGCTTGGACAATGACATGTCATACCAATGCAGTAACATCAATTTAATCTAAACCACAGGTGTATGATATAGCTTGGACAATGCAACTAATAAGCTGAAGGTGCATTTTAGATTTATGCTGGTTTAAGAGCATTAACAATTTAATACCTGAAATAATTCTAGCATTCCGGACTCGGGCAGGTTGAGCAGCACGTGGGCAGGAGGAATCCTGGGAGGGGCAATGATTTGAAGAATGCCCTGTTTGCCCACAGTGCAGACAGGGCTCCTGCCTTGAATTACCTCTACTTGCACTGCTCATAGGCTCTGTGCCTCGCTGACCTCTTGCTGATAGAATCAGAGAAACCAAAATCAAAGTTTACTATTATGATTTTGCTCAACAATAGAAATGTCCACTTATAATATCGATGAACCCCAATTACTATATAATGAGATCTGAATTTTAATGTTATTGAAGCTAACAAGTCAGACTATGCAGAGCGGTATGATTCCATGTATGGTGAACTATAAGGGGAAATCTATATAAATGATGACATCAAAAAGTGCAGGACCTCTATCTAAATTGTGGTTGTAACACACGCAGGAATCTCTTATTACATTTAGTATTCTTTATGTCCTTTCCCAAGAGCTATTAGTATTACATACAAATTATGACTCAGCTTACACCAAAAAGTACAAGGAAGATCTGAATAATGCAGGATCGAGATGAAATAATAGGTCAGCTTACCCCAAAAAGAAAAAGATGGAAATTCTACTATGCCCAGTCAGTGACATTAAAGTCAAATAAAAATATCATCCACTGTATTTTCTAGTGACAATAGAGCAACAATAGCAACAGGTCCCTTCAGAGATCTTAAGGAAGGGTTCAAAATGAAGCAACCATGGCCACATATATGCATAGAAAGAACAATGCTGCAGCAAAAATGATAAAAACCATGTATTGCATCATGAATTAACAATACCTGCAGATTATTTCCCTGGAAGACACAGGTAAATAAACATAATGGAGAACAATAAGAACCAAGGGGAAAAGGCTACCGGCAAAAAGAATGATAATTGCACAATTGAAAACTCATTGTACAATCCAAAGCTGACTTCTTTATATTCTGGAACAAACCTGACATGCCAGTATGATTATGAGATCCTGTTCCACAAATCTCAATTAGTTCTCTCAGTATCACATCACAGCCACCAATACAACCTAAAGAAAGAAATGTTAGTACAATAATTGAATAAAAGAGGATATAATGTACACTCAATGCCATAAGCTTCATAGAAGAAGTATGCCAATTGCCATCTGCCTTGCTTGATAGAAGATAATCAGTGTATCAAATATGGTGTAGAGTTTCAGAACAGCATATTCGGATGAAAATCATGTGTGTTCTCCAGAAGATGAATCATAAATATGGCTTGAATTCTAATTTGACATCACTAAATTCTATGATTAACTTTATTCAAACACAAAAAAGCCCCATAACTGAAAAGACTTTACAACAACAACAAGGTTGTAAAGTCCCAACTGAAAAGACTTTACTAGAAAATATAAATAAAGATTTAAATCCTCTTTATTGAATTAAGGATATAATTTTTTATGACTTAATGATGGAAACATGGCAACAGATCCATCTAGCTGACCCTAGATATTTGGGACATTACGGTTTGTTATTGTTGGTTAATAGCATTATAGCAGTAATATGGAGGCTGGACAGAGGACAAAATCATGTAAAAAATTGATTCTAGAGTAATTAAAAGGAACATTCCATAATCCATTTACTAGTTAAATATCCAAAATGATGTAACAATTCCCAAATCCAACTATTTCAAATCTCATTAGTGAAACATATAGACAGTGTTTGAAGAAGACCCAAAACAAACTTAACAAGAACACTTACAAGCTAAATGTTGATTACTGTTGCAATGGCAGATTCATAATTCTTGGTAGTACAACAGCTCCCAGTACTTCAATACTGGAAAGTTTCAAGTTTGTCATGATCCAACACTGGTGAGACCACATGTTGCAGGTTTAGAATAAACCGATTCATCATGTTGGGCATGCTTTGGTCTTTAACCTTTGTGCATCACGTAGTTGGTGCTTCTGGGATATCTCTACTTCCTAAGTTTTGGATCAAGAATTGCAAAAAGATCACTGCAAAACTGGATATGTAGGTGCACACTCAACATTCTGAGACAAAACAAGATTTTGTACTGAGATAGGATTTGCACATACATAAAAAAATCTAGAAGCAAATGGGAAGAGAATCACAATATGAGTGATACTGTAATGGGATGATGAATCTATTTGTTCACTTTATCGCCAAAAAAAAAGAATTCCTTCTATCTAATATGACACTAGTTATTTGTGAACTCAAGATCGATGTACTTGTAGCTTTCATAGGAGACTATAAATCACGTTTGCAATTGAATTTAATCACTGCAGCCATAATAAAGCTTACCCAAATGATCAACATCATAATTTGGAGGAATCTCCAGTCTTCGAAACTTAAACTGAACCTTGTAAACAGGACCTATATGTAGAATAACTTAATCAACACACAAGACAACACGGATAAGTAAAATAGCCCAACTTTTACAGCACAGTTAGGATAAATGGTGATGTCAGGCAGACCTGGAGCACAACTGGAGCAAACATGATTGGTCACAGCTGCTTCTGATATTGATCCTGGAAGCCATACTACATTCCTACACTGAAATATATTCAGATAATTAGTGTACAACCACAGCCTATCAAAGAACCATTCCAGAAAACCATTACTAGGCATGGAAGTTTAGTAGCAATGATAATGAAAAATTATAATGTGAGAATCATGGCATCACTTTTTATCAAATTAGTTCCAAATTCTAAATTTCTGATCTAAAACACTTCTTGTGTTTGGTAATAAGAATTGAAGGTCTCAGAGTGTTACAGATCAGATTGGTTTCAAGTACAAGCCCATTCCAAGTCAATCAAGCCAGATTCAGCTGATTGCAGGGGATGCAATCCAGTAAGACTTCTAAAACTTCGAGAGACATTTCCAGCTGTTGGAGACATCCTGATTTGGTAAGGTCTAAAGATGAAAAATGGCTGCAAGAAGACTTAACTAAGAAAGAAATAATCCTTCATCAGTTCTATTTCAAGAAGGAAAGAAATCCATATGAAATGGTACAGATCAAGAGTCCTTAACAAAACAAGAGATGTCAACCCCTTCACAAACAAACTCCATCTGAGCAAGCACAATTGTAATGCAGAATGGCCTAGTCCAAGACCCAGCCCAAGTCAATTAAGCTGAAGGACTTCAGAGATGAGACCCAGGAGGACTTCTAGAGCTTTGCGATAACTCAATCATCAAAGAGATGTATGCATCTTAGAGCTCTGAAAGTCCTCCTGGGTCCCATCTTTAGAAGCTGATTGGAACTTGACCAGATTGACTCTGCCTGAAACTGGTTCAAGGCCGATTCGCTCTGTAATATAGGCAATGGCAAGAGGAGCACTATGTATGTTCCTCAGTTGCAACCATCACCTGCATGTGACCCTATTGCTTTCAAATTACCACAATAAAAGACTAACTTGCAAGCAACATCAAGCTGCAGCTTCCTAAAAGACTAACCACCCACCTGCATGTGACCCTATTGCATTCCATTGAGTACGTTTCAATCATGGAAAGAATCTCCAAGCAGGTGGGTGCAATGTTGCACACGTGTAAATCTCTTTACACTCTTGGCTACTCTGTGACATACAACTCAACTTCCTTTCTCATCATCATTGGCATGACACCTCCTTGCACAGCACTGATAAACCATGGCTGTCATTGTATTGTTCTAATGATTGTAGATTTTACTTAATACTTAGCAGTCTTAAGAGCCTAAAATTAGTGTCATTATTTTTGTCACAAGAAAGTCAATGATTTTACTTAATTTGTTTAATTATACAAAAACAATAACAACTACATTAAGCAGAAAGATGATATCTGCAACACAAAAACTTGAAGAAAACTATGATTGAGGAAATCATTATAACAGAAAAGAAGCCCTTTATGGTGAATTATAAGGCGCAACATGAAGGTCTCAAAGATAGCAACTCACATTAGGAAAGCGCAAACATCCCACCATATAATCACCATTCTGGAGAAAGCAGAAACAGATTAATATTGAAGAAAAGATCAGATAGAATTTGTCCTTTGAAGATGGAATGAAACAAAAGAACAGAATAACTACCAGTCTTCGCTTCAGCACCATGTCAGCTTCACTGCATAAACTACATGGCCTTACAGTCTCTCCAACATTATGTGCATCCCCAGCAGATCTATTAGATAAAAAAAGGAATTAGAATCCTAAATCCAAAAGAGCATGAGTGAAAAAAATGCATGATTACCTCTCAAAGAATAAACCCATTGCTTCCAGGAGTTTCACTTTATTTCGCCTTGCCTACAGAACACACTTTTGGAATAAACATTTAAAAGGAAGCAAAAGAAAGAAAGTAATCAATATGAAACACACGATTTTAAAAGGTGTAGCAGGATTATTAGCAATAAATACAAGGCATTTCCACTCATTTAGATTGTAGCACATACTATTGCCCAAACACAAATTTCTCACTGGGCAGAAAGGGTTCAAACATTCCAGCTTATTCAGGCAAAAGAAAAAAGTAAGGTCTAAGTACGACAAATATCTAAAAGGTGTTTATTTTTACGACGTAGTACTAGAAACTAGAAAGGTTTCATTCTTTTATATGTGAACACTTAACAGGAACTGGCATAAAATGAGATTGAGTTTTGCCAAAATGTTCTCAAACTTGGTTGTAAAATACATTGTTCTGCATATTTTTCTCTAGCCTATATAGTTTTGAAGTACTAAGACAAAACAACTAGTCAATTCTAGAATCTTCACTAATCATGATTCAGTTTAATTTGAATAGTTAAAGCAAATTACCTGACAAACTAATTCAATTTATTTGACACTTCCCTAACTTAGGTGGACAAACTGCAATCAGATTCAAACCTACATATAAATCATTTTTTGCAGAAGCATGTAAAATCATCAGTTCCCATCCTTGTAGACTTGATGCGCTTCAATAACAGAATGATAATGTATGAACCCAACAAATTTCATTCAGTTCATTCATAAGGCCTACTAAACCCACTTTTGTTGATGATCAAGCAAGCCAGCTACTTTAGTTCATTTTCTAAGGCAAGAGAATGAAAATAGGCCAAATATTTTAACCATGTTAAATATGCGGATCTTGCAAAGTTTTATACAAGAATCTAAATACCACTGACTAGATAGAAAAGACTATCCAAAGGCTAATTAAAATAATTAAATAAATACTACAGTTGAAATGTTAAAACACAAGTATCATGGTGTTCTGCTGAATATTTTAATGTAACGATTAGGCTCTAAGAATGTGACTGAGTTAACCAGACTTACATCTAGAAAACAAGCTTTCATCTGTTGTAAGCAGCTCTCTAAAACCTCAGATTTCCTCTTTGTACCTATGCTTACTGCTTTCATATCACACTCCATCATCGCTCTGAGATAGGGTTTCCAAAGTTCATACCTGAATGGAGTATACACAAACATTCAAAAAAATAAAAAAAAAGAAAACCTAAATTTATTTTATATTACTACAAAAGTAGTGTTCACAATTTATTAGTAGATAGGTCAACAAATATAAATGGAATCTTATAAAATCAAAAATCCCCTGGGACGTGACCAACATGATTTCATTAATTAAGAAATTCCTTATTATGACAAGTGCACGATGTGCAGTAGCTATACAAATTTAATTCAAAAGGTAGTATTATATTCTCTAATGTTCCATGAATAAGAGTTCAAGAATAATGAAATAAATCACCTTTTCCTACATGCAAAGGAAGAGAACATTAGTTTGAAAGTTAAAAAAATATGTTAACCCTACCTTTTTAAACTAAGGTAACCAATATTAAAGAAGGCAACAAGAAGCTTCAACACCATAAACTTTGCAACTATGTAGACTTTGAACATATAGGTGCTGCAGGAGGGAAAAAATTATAATAGCATATCATTTTACTGTTTGAGTGCTCCATGTACCATACTAGATGTAAAGAGTAATTTCATGCTGGATGACATATGTTATGATACACAAGACAAGATAACAATTATTTACGTACCCCATCTCATCATAGCCCATCACTAATGCTTCACCCTGCCATTAATAGATTACATGGTCAGCCAAAAATTTAGTCAACAAGAATTAACTGATATGTGAAAATCATAAAACTTCTATGAATTAATGGAAGCAATTTGATCAATATAACAAAAAACAAAGAGATGTTTGATTGAACTCTTCTAGGCAAAGCATGAGAAGATGAAGTATGACCAAGATGAATGAAGGCGACAAATGTGACAAAAGATGAACTAACTATAATGGCTGCTTATTCAATATAATATCAAACAGACCTGTTTTGATAAGATGTCTTTAGCAAGTGATAGAAGAGACCCCTAGTAGTGTTAGGCAAAGCAAATCCCAAGTAAGCTTATTAAACAACAGCCAATAAATATAGGAGGTGATATACGAACCACAAATTTCACAAATACTTTGCAGATATTTTTTATTTTTTTATAGAAGAAGACATCTTGACTAATTTTTGGGCTCACAGCAATTTCCAAACTTAGGTCAAGCATTTACATGCTGTTCCATGCCGAATTGGTCACTACCAGTCAATAAAAATGAAATCCATGTATGTAATCATTATTGTCTGTCTGACAATTTATATGTGCATGTATATACTGCCAAACTGGTAAAACACATACACGTAATTTCTCAAGTAAAATAACTCGTGAACTAGACAGAAATAATTAATTGTCAGATAATTGCAATAGTATGAGGAAATGCAAGAAAAATGCAGTAAATTTACATATTTAGCTCAACAATAGAACTTAACAAATCACTAAAAGATGTCAATATTAATCTCTGTAAAGAAAGACAAAAAATAACATCATTCTCATAAATGTATCCTACGGCAATAAAGAACAACATATTGTATCGACTTCAAGATTATATAGTATATACACTGCTCAACATATGGGTATTCACATTAAATATTGAAATGAAGATTGAAAATCTCGATCTAGTGTCGATACCAGTAGACGACTAGACTGGTATGGCTCTGGTTTAAGGACAATTTACCGACATTCGGTACAAGTCAAAACCACCTAGACTAGAGAGAAGGGGAGGACGAAAGAAGAGGAGGATGAGGCATAATAATAGGACTAGGAGGAAATGGAGTTCCAGACAAGGAGCAGATGACAGTGACATGACAGGATGTTAGAGGCACAGTTGTGACACAATGGGGAACAGGCAGAGGCAGTGACAGGAGAGGAGAGAGAGAGAGAGAGAGTACACATCGGTATACAGGTCATACATCAAACAGTTTCTTTTTTGGTTCCTTTTCAGTCTTTTTAGGTTTTTTTTCCAAAATCAATATGTTCGGGTATACTAACACTTGATGTACCAACATTCGATATGTTGGTATGTACTGATATGATGCCAGTCTGATCCCTGACCAGTACACAAAATTGTGAACTTTGGCTTGTCTAATATAAATTAGGCTCGTTTATCATCATTAATTATGTATGGCATGACTTAGAAGAGGTAAAAAGGAATCTGGAATTCGGTTTGTCATAAATAAACAGATGTTGGCAATGAACCTTTGACTTGGATTACTTGTCTGACTCAACAGGATACTAGATTAACAAAATGTGGAAAATTCAAAGAGGTAGAAATTGGCAAATCCTAGGTGGCTAAATCTCACTAGTCTGATCAAGAGTATAGACAACATGTGATCAAAGTATTCCTTCATGGGAAGCTCTGGATAGGTCTTTCAAAGAAAAGTTATTACTATAAAGTTAAAAAAAGAAGTGACTAGGATCTACAGTTTCTAACATAATGCCCATGTAACACTCACAAGACTTCCTGCATACACTTCTCAAATGAAAGGGCCATGTATATCGAAGAAAGAACAGACATGAAGGGACGCAACATACCTCCAATGATCTTAAAGTGCGAAAGAAGCGAATTTTTCGAGATCTAAATAGCCATGTATTCCCACAAAGAACAAACAAAATTGAATTTATATCTTTAAATTGAACTGCATTGTTATTTTACTGCCATAAACTTTTCCATCTTATAACAAACATGATCTAGCAACTAACAATAGATGGAACAATTTTAATTTTAAATCATAGAGTTTGCATGGATGCTTAATTGGTTGCATGAGTTATACCTAGTGATTAAGAAGAAAAATAGGTACAAATATAAAGAGCTACAAAAGCATGAACAAAAGGCAATGAGAATTACTAGGTTTGTCGGTGAGAAACGAGTATTTGAATCTTTTGTTGCATAGCACCGATCAAGTAACTTTTTAATGTGATCGTGCATTGTCGCATCAGTGCCAATTCCTGCCTGAAAGCAGATTGAGCTAAGTGATACATCATCAAAAGATGACTTATGCAAGAATGTGTGCACCAAAAGAAAAACAAAAGCACAAGGACTTCTACAAGCATTCATAGACACACCAAAAAAAACAAAAAAAACAAAAGCAGGACTTGTAATAGTGGATGCTTACCTTGTCCATACAACTAAGTAGATCAGCTTCACTTAGAAGAGGAGGTGGTCTGGTCACCCCTGAATCAAGGGTCAAACTGGTTGGAATAAACTGTGAAAAGATAGAGCAACATTAACTCATTATTGAGCTTTATTGAACATAGATATCAGTATAAATAGAAACATACACAAAAATAAGCAACAAATTAGAGGCTCAGTATTAGTACATATGCTAGATATGTAAAGTCCTACTTCGAAACTCAGTTTTGTTTAAGAGAATCATAACTAGAAAAAGAAGTGGAAAATTTTCAGAAAAGGAATATCAACATTTAAATATAGTAAGCTTCCAGCTGGTGAACAACTCCGGCAATCATGAACTATGGGATATACTTATCAACAAATCCATTCAGATTGTCCACAAAAGCCAAAAAAGGCTAATGATGAAATTTCACGGAAACCAAAAATTAGAAATTAGAAAACAAGAATAAAGATCAAGGACCATTTAAGTATCAGGTGATGCTAGGCTTTTGAAACATCAGAGGTACAAAAGCCTTGAACATGATGCACATCTGATAGCCTACCAAACACATCTAGCAGTGAAATCTCTAACCAATAACAGCCAACTCACTCAAAGCAGACATGAATAAAGGATATCTGGAAACAATTTGGATTCAGAAAACTATTCCAAACATTCCATTTCACCAGTGAGTGAGTAGCTCATACTATCCAATTTCGCACCCCACAACTTATGATGGATTAAGGCATCACAACTCCCCTATCACATCTCCAACATCCTGGCGGTAACATATAAGCCAAAATCCTTCCCTGGCAGATAGCATGCAGGATTAGGATTAGTACTGTCCATTGATTGGTTTGAAAACAACATGCTCTGAGATCCAACTGATCTAAACTCAATAGCCTAGTCCAAGTATTCACTTAAATTGGTACACCTAATACGGTACGGTTTATATAACTAACCTTTAGAAATCTACCAAGGGTGGTGTTTAGTATTTTAAACTTTTAGTTTAACCATGGCATATGTAAAAGTCAAACTTAAGCTAATCAGACAATTAGTTCTAATCCAATATTGCAATCTTGACAATCGAACCCATGCCAATCATTGATGAGACAAGTATGGTCCATAACACACAGGTCAACATATGGTACACAGTTAGATACCATTATCCTAGAAGAGGGGAGAAGGAAGAGTAGAGTAGGAAGAGTGCCAAGTGCAGGCTAACAACACGAGAGGCAACAAAGCGAGTTTAGAGATGGGTGTGGTGCTAGCAATAAGCTCAATTTACACAGGTTACCAGTAATTCCAACTCTGGACCATCTAAAATGGGACAATCTGCGTGGCCTTGGCCCAGACAGGTAAATACTGCCAGGTACATACATGTTCAGAAAAAATTGCAATCCCTGGTTCTAACAAATAGATGATATCTGATTTAAGCAGGATCATTGTCAACAATCCACGTATGGAGGCTTAACTATGCTTATAGTAGAGCCTAAGAAAAATTACATTTTTCCCAAAATTCAACTTAACTAGTCCAATCTCATGTTACAGACCAAAATCCTATTTAGAAATTAAATGATGAATCAAGTTAAAGAAAGGACTAACATTTTCCCAAAGGCTGCACATGAAAATCTTTTCTTTTAGTAAAGTAAGAATGGACCCCTCTTTCAATAAAATACTCCAGAAATCAGTATATAAAGTAGTGTTCTTATCTTTTTTTCAAATAGCATCTTCTTAGAATGTAATTTTTAGGGGATTACAAGCAAAAAATTGCTTCATAAATTTGAACAAATAATAACCTTTCTTGGGCATGGATCAAACCAGTATTCAGCTCAAAATAATATGCTATCTTTTTGCTTAGCATGATCATGTTAAACTACTTAAAGTACAATGAATCTCATAGGGAGGTTCAAGTATAAAACAAGTTACAACTCAAATTTCAAATTTTCAATTAAGAAATAAATCTACAGAACAAGTGAAAGGCAATAACATACCTGTTGCCCGATTGTGTATGTAGGAACTATATTACCTCCCCATGATTCAAACCGATAAACATCCAAGTAATTTTTCTATCAAAGAAAAGAAAGTTCAGAACATAAATTAATACTTAAATAAATTTCCAACTTTTCCAGTGACCAAAATTAAGTATCTTTAAGAATGATTCAGAAAATAAGAAATAACTTTTAAAAGTCTTTAGAATAAGAAAAGTGACCAGAACAATAGCATAAATATTAACTTAATAACCATGCAATGCAAGCAACAAAGTGAAGATAACATCTTCTACTCATATGTGAGCAAAAGTTGGTCTAAGACTGCTTCCTAACATTCTATGGTCAAGCATTAAGCAAACTAAATATTCCTTGTTTGTGTAATCCACAATGCTATATGAAAACCACAATATTCAAATGTAGTAATTTGCAGTTTCAATTCTTCTAGGAAAACACTAAGTTCTTCAGAATGTTAAGGTCGATAACATCATACAAATATTCTCTCTATATGAACAAGATCTCTATCACCCATCAATATCATCCAAGACATAAGGCATGCCAACGTGTAACTTTGCTGCCATCGATCCCATGTGATCCGAGCTGTTTGCCACATGCTATAATCGCATAGGAAAATCAAAAAACTTGTTTACCAGTTACCACAACTTCACAATATCATCTCAAGTTCCAAAAACTGTCATCTATCATTTGCAATACTGCCTTATTTTCAGCAAATTGCAAGCATCAACAAGGAATTATTTGATTGTGCAGTCAGTTCATAGCAAAATATTAGTTTATAATCCTCTCAAAAAGCCTATTTACATAGTTATTTCCTATTAATCTGGATCATCTGCTCTCTGCAAGAAAGAGTAATTGAAGTACCTAATATTGCAGAAGTGGCAAGAATGAAGGTTGGTAATAACAACTAGGAAACAAGCCATAAATGCTTGTAAAACAAATCAAAAGAAATAGCATAAACAAGTCAAGGAAAAATCAAACTGATCCATCAAAAAAATAAACAACCAGAAAACAGCTACACAAACAAGAAACAAACATATACCATCACCGAAGATTAGCAATAACAAGCTAATGTAACTTACAGCTATTATCACACGTCCTGATGCAGAAAACTGTTCACCAGCAATGTCAATTTCAACTGTAGTTTCAGCTCCAACTGCAGGTTGTGAGACGCATGCAAGAAAATGACGTACAACAAGCTCATACAATCTCTGGATAGAACAATTAAGATAAAATATAAACTTACTAGACCATTAGAAACAACAGATACACCTTAATCCAAGAGTTAAATCAACTGAATCAAAACCAAATATGTGACTTGCATTATAATTTAGTTGCTTGTGTACATACATTGTGGTCTTGGCTCCACCCTGTTTCACCAGCAGAGAATTTTGTTGGATGAATAGGAGGGTGGGCCTTGTCATCATGCCCACCATTGCTAGGGTTTCTCCAAAGCCTTGCTTCTACATCCAAAAGTTGTTGCGCATATGAACCCCAAATTGGATGTGTTACTTGCTCCCGCACAATGGCCTAGGCCATAAAATGGTCAAGAAATAACTGAACATTATAACAAATGAGCAATATAAAATAGGTGAAATAACGTCCAGTATATTAGCCAATGACAGCAGGAAAAGGATTATTATTTACTATTAAATGGATGCAATGACATCAGGTTGCGACTACTTCAAAAATAGAAAAATAAAGCTTCAACAACAATTATATGCATACAGATCTGACTTCACGAAGCAAAAAAACAAACAGAGAGCACAAAGAATAATATAACTGAGACATAATGTTGCTAAGTCATTGATTACTTACTTAGCAAAGAAAAAGTCACTAATCTTCCAAACAAACATGATTATCCACAATTTCTTTACAATGTGGCACCATATTAATACCCATGACTCATGGACCATGAGGTCAAAAACTTTTCAAGGCCTCAGGATAATTAAAAAAGATGGTCAAAGTGATACCTACAGAATCTAAATTTTTGGAGGCAACAAATAGCCTATACAAAAGTCATTCTATAAGACAATCAACAAGTTGCTAAGATAAGAGAGAAAAGAAAGAAAAAGAGGCAAAAGAGTTCAGATCAGTGAGACAAACACATAAAATAAAAGAAATTACTAAAAAATTAGGGGGGCTTCTACAGTTTTATGCATGGTATGCAATTTCGAATAGTACCGTCCGGTATGGACGGTACGTACCGATCCGATGGCATACCGGTACGTAGACCGCTCGCTACTAGACAGAACGTGCTACAGTACTACACTGTAGCACTGCTATAGTGCTACATTAAGAGAAAAAATATTTAAAACCACTCGGTACATCCTGGCGTACCGAGCGGTACATGGTACCATACCGTACCGAGCCAACCTCGAAATATCGGTACGGTACGGTATTGCATACCTTAATTTTATGAAACATCAGACCCAAGGGAGCAAAAACAAAATGTAGCCTTGTTGGAAAATGCAACAACTAAAGTTCTAGTTCGGGAAAATTATGTCATTTCTGGTCTTATCTACATAATACATATGTGTAATGATTTACAATCTGGATACTACAGCATGATGAACGTTCTAAGACACCTAAAAGGAAAGGAAGAGCAACAAAGAAACACATGCACATTCAGTAGATGGCTTGTACTTGAATTTGCACTTTCATACTTTTAAATCAACCTTACAACACTCATCCACATATACATGATATAAATAAATAAAAGTGTGTGTGTGTGTATACATACATATATATATATATATATATATATATATAGTAGAGAGAGAGAGAGAGAGAGAGAGAGATGTGTGTGTAAACATGCTCTCCATGATCCAAGTAAATGTATTCTGTTCACCTAGGTGATCTAAAGAAGTCTACCTCTATCCTACCACGTCTTAGCATTAGTAACTTTCTACATTCTTACATTTATCATAGGTACCAAACAAACCATGCTCCAAGGTTCCTCAGAAAACAAAAATAGTTTGCCAACCAACTATTTTCTTCAAAATAGTAATATGCTGATTTTATATATCTCCTCGTGTAGCACTAAAGAACTAAAACCCACCAAGGATGAAAATTCTTCCATCAAAAAATCATTCCAGTGAAACAATCATCAAGCAAAAAGGAATGGCAGCAATAAAAGTGTTTCTCTCCTTATAGAAAATGTAACAGGACTGTAATCTTTGTTAAAGACATTTATATATTTGGATAAACATTTGAGTGAGAAAATTCATACTTAATCATCATTTTCATAGTTAATGCAGAATGAAAAATGATCCAGATGATGAGTGTGAATCCAACAAATAGAAGAATCACTCGAAAACATAAGAAATCAACAAAAACTGAGAAAGATCAAGTGAAGGCTTAACATAACTTGCTAAACATCCTCCTCTTTTCAAAAACATCTCCCTCCAGTGCTTCCTCCTCGTCTTCCTCAGTTTTTAAGTGAATCCAACAAATAGAATAATCATTCAAAAATGTTATCAAGTGGAGAGGAGGAAGGGTACCTGTTTTTCTATTCATACAAAGACATCAAGATTTCCTTTCATCCTTAACCTAACTTGCTAAACGTAACTGTTTTTCTTTCAAAAAGAAAATGTTCAAGTGATCATAAAGCAAGTTCTATTGTGCTATACAAGAAGATCAAGAAAAACTAAGATACCAACATGTAAGTCTGTGTTCACTGAGAAGCCATCAGTCTCAGTACGAGGGTAGCTAATGAATCCAGCCTGATAAAGTTCTTCTGCTATCTAGATATAAGAGACAAGTTAGCATCACAATTCCAGTGATAAGTGAAACATAAATAGGCCAAGAGACATGCAGCACAAAATAGGAAAATGAGAAAGAAATTCTTAAATCTATCAAGATGATTAGCATACAAAATATGATAAATTGGAATATCACGAAATAAAGATTGCAAACCAACTAGTTTTTTTTTCATTTTAATCCACTGAAACATTGTGTCCATAACTCAAAAGGTTAGAATGGTATCAAAATATAGTACTTCAGGCTAGGGTTCCACTCTTTCAAAGTGATGGTTGATAGCAGCCAAGCACCAGAACACAATAAAGCAATGTCAGGAAATGCAGCGGTGGCAGAGAACTAGTGGTACCTTTCTCCTTTTTTCTACTCTTCCACTTATTCCTTTTTTATCCTCATCTTTCAGAACCCTGTGAGTTCATTGTTTATATCCTTTTTATGATCATTATAATATAGTTCATTGTTAGCAAATTAGAGTAGTTTATCAAAAGTTTTAACACCATGAAAGCTGATCGAAATGACACATCCAGATTAATAAGCACGAACATATTATAACCAGAAACAACTTCTATAATCATTACTAAGGAAAATGATAGGTTAAAGCAAAAACCAGAAAGCAGCTGTGTTTGTACCTCACCTTCATTGTGTGCTCAGAACTCATCCTGAAAAATCTGGAGGCACGTTTCTGAAGTTCAACTGTACTCAAAGGATATGGAGGATACTTCAACTTCTCCTGGTGTTTAACATTTTTAACCTGAAAATGCAGGAAGCGTAAACCTAATACCGTGCATTGCTGGACATGAGTAGATTATATAGCATGACTGGAAACTCACAGTTGCAGCTGGTTCTTCAACGCACATCTCATAAATTACAACAGCACTTGTGTAGTCAAATAAATGCCCACGCCTGCATAGAACAAGTATTGTTTATAAAACATGTGTATGTATCAAACGTAAATAGCAGAATATCAAACGATATTACATCCAAATAAAATTAGCAGTTCCCTCTTCTGAAGTATGCGAACAGTTAATCGTCCAAAATTCTTCAGCTTCATGGGATTGTATTTCCCAATATCTTTCCACAATGAAACCAAGAGTAGGGAACTGCACCAGGCAGAGAAATTTCATTATAAATCAATCTACAGAATATGATATCAGAAATATAAAGTTCAATGGAACCAGATTAATGATGCTTAGTTCTCAACTTAAATAAAATAGATATACAGTACAAAACCTGACATGGACCATAGCTTAGGACAAGACTCCTATTATCACTGGCAAAATCGAGAACAAATAAGTCTTTTAGTAGCATAGTTTGGAACCTAGTAAAGGAGGCACCTATTCGGAGATCGATTTCCTGCAAGATATCATCGTTTATTAGTTTTCATTTGCAAACCAAATATAGGAAAATATAGAAAAAATGTAAATAGAAAATTTATTCCTTTAATAAGTTCAACCATAATTTTCCAAGTATTTTACCCAATAATTTGGTAGTCAAAGGTGAACCTATGAACTGGAATCAAACAGATCATTGTTATAAGTTATAACAATAATTTACCTGCCTGGCATCTACTGCATCTGAGAATAATTTGTTGGGTCGTGCAAGATTCTGCACAGAATGGTGTATTTCCCTGCCAGTTCTTAGAAGTTAGCATCACAAGCTAGTTAATGCAAATGAAGCAACAATATAGCCAGAAAGTAAGCACAAGGCACCGATCGATTAATGCAGAGAAATGAGCCCTCCAAATGTTGAGATGATCATTGACAGATGTGCAAACTTCTATGACTTCAAAGGCAATATTTTCACCCTCTCTATCACAGTCCAGCCACAGAACAAGCCACTGGCATCTCCTTGCTTCCTCCTCCAAAGTAATTTTGATGTCCAACTTATCCTGCACTTCCAGGAAATAATGAAATCTTACAATCCTATGTTTCAGATCAAAAGATAGAACAGGAAGGCAACATCAAGTATCTAATCAGGTACAAGTTGAAGTTGCAAATGCATTGTCTATCTAGATTAGGAGAACAAAGAAGTGAGATGAACCAGGTTAGAAAGAACATGCCAATGTTTGTCTGTTTTCTGATCCACAGATTTGCATGCACAAGCCACACAATATCCAGAATGATTGCTGCCACCTCAGTATTGACTCTGATGCTTCACACATTTAGACTGTCCTTTCTTCATTATTATGTGTATTATTTGACTAATTTGCCTTAATCAGTCATTATTTTTATCTGAAAACCCAAGTTCCATTTTGCTAGCATCTGTTCAATTCCTTCTATAAGGTTTTATCTGAAAACCCAATTTGTCTATATCGACTATTGAAGTAGAAGCACTTCAATGATATTATTGAAGTCTAACGATGATGGGACAGAAGAAATGCCAGAAAATAAAGAAAGATGAAGCAAAATGAGAAGGCAAACCTCACAACCAGAAACAGCCAGGAGTAAGAAACATAAGACTAGCATTTTAACATCTTAAATGCCTGAGAGAAGTACACATTTGGTGCATGTGCTCTCCTTCATGAGACACAATGTGAGATCCAACTCACTGGCCTGATAGTTTTGTTTCCTTCAATTGGTACCCAACCAGGTTCACTGGGTGAGTATTTAGGCATTACATTACATATCCAAAAAACATGTGAAAAAAGGAGTTACAAGAGAACTGTAGGGTGTATAATTGGTAAAATGATCTTGATCCCTTAATTTGTAGCCATATCATGATAAAACATATGAAAAAAGGATAAGAATGTTGAGATGGAAGTGTAGAGTTATAGGAAAGATAGAAAAAGAAATATTTTTATTCATGAACAATTAGATATCGTTTTGATAGAGAATAAGATAAAAGAAAATCATTTAGAATGGTATAGGCATGTACTTAGGAGACCTCTAAACGTGATAGTAGATAAAATGATTAATGCTAGTGATACAAAGAGAGATAGAAAAAGATCTAAAAATTTTAATAGAAACTGTAAATAAGAATTTAATTACTCTAAACTTAACTAAACTTATGACTTTTTACATATCTCAATAGCAACAAAAGACTCATGCAGCCAACCTCAAACAGTTGAGACTTACAAAATTGTTATTCTTGTATCGTGATAAAAGGACTCGGATGCTTGAGTTATTTCTGCACATTTTGGTGCTAACCATCAGAAACTGTGTAGGGCTCCCTGTCCAAGACTTCTAAACTCATTGTTCCCCAGAACGCATCCTCTACAGGAATCCCTCCCTATCATCATCCCAAGAGTTTAGATATTTGGACTTCAACATCTTGTTCTGCTCATCCTTACTCACATAATATATCTAAATATGTAGATAGATGAAACACAGCAACAAAAGGACGGCCAACTTACCACATTCATGATAGGGCCACCGTATATCTGCCAGAGGATCCTTTATAACTCAGAAAAGGAAAAAGAGAAAAGAGAACGACCCATTGAGGAGCAGCACAGCAAGTGGACATTCTACCAAATCTCCAAGAAAGGATGAAACCCTAAATTAGACGTAGCCAAGAATCTAAAATGTTAAACATTTAAAATCCTAAATCGCTATTTTTCTAGCAACAGCCAGAAGAAACAATATGAAGAATCCAAAGGATAAAAATTCAAAACTTAATACCAAAGATAAAAATTGCAAACAAACATCCGTATGCAAAATTGTTGCAATACAGTAATTCGAAGGGTTAATTGATAGATGGAAGGATCGATTCATTTACCTGAGGCACGTGCTTGCGCACGGGGGCGTGGTAGAGCTCGGCGGGGTCGCAGGAGTGCCACTTGCGGAAGCGGTCCTCGAACTCGAGTTCCATGAGGTGGCCGATGACAGAGGTGACGAGCATGTGGCACGCCTGACTGCCAATGGTGTACTCGAACTCGAACACCCGGTTGTACCGCGACCGCCCCAGCCTCGACCGCATCCCTCCGCTGCCGCGCGACAAGATCTCCGACACCGCCTTCGCCACCGACGGCTTCTCCGCCACGTTCAGCACCCGGATCATGCGGCCTCCGCCGCTGCGCCGCGACATTTGGAAATGGCGCTTCCCAGAGCGCGCTCCGCTCTCGCCCTATAAACGAAACGAGACCAACGGCGGGGATTTCGAATTCGAGGCAAGCGCGCAAGTTCGCCGATGGGTTATTACCCAACCCTCGTCGCGAGCTATTTAGAGGACAGAAGGGATCCGATTTGGTTCTTCTAGTCCGCTTTTAACCGGTTTCATCAGTACAATCCGATTGAGCATTTACCGTTCTATGTGATTCCACTCCGACTCAATCAGAAGTAAACGAAGCCGGTAAAACGGATCGAGTAGATGCGAATATCTTAAACGATCTGATCCGTTATCGTATTATCATTTAATAAAGAAATGAAAATAAATTCCAATATTCGTAGCTGATGAGAAGCTTGTGAGGCCAAATCCATCGATGGCGATGGAGTTGCTCGGCCTCTCCAAGTTCAAGCTTCAGCTACTCGCGCTGATCGCCGAAGCCCGCGACATCCGAGTAAATTGAATCTCCGCTCTCCCGACGTGGTTTTCTCCTCGTCATTCTCTTTGGTTTCCTTCTTCACAGGGAAGAGAACGAAGCGCCCGAGACGAGCTCCAACTCTCCATCCAGGTTTAACCCCTCTCTCCCTTTCCTGATTCATCTCATTGTCGAATAAAGAATTCACACCGAGATTCACGCTGTCTGATTCCTGATGGTTCGAATTTTAGAGGCGAGAGCAGATCGAAGCGGAGTACACGAAGAAGTTGCAAGAGTTGCAAGCAGAGATTGCGTCGCACGAGGAGTCGCAGCGCAGGCTCGAAGACAAGGTGCTTTCTCCACACTTAAAGCGCTTTTCATGATTTGAATTCAAACTCTGGCTCTCTTGATCATTGTCGTATACCTCGAGAGGCATGCGGATTTATAGCATGAGAAGTGGATAGCGGATGTCTTTGGCTGTTTCAGTGATCGCGAATCGCATTTAGGAAGAAGGAGACAAGATACTTGGAAAGGGGAAATCGATTTGCTTCCGCTAGTTAGAGAAATTAACAGATGGGCACAACGTGACAAAGTAGTGGAATGACATCTAAATCGCAATTAATGCAATCATTGGCAGCCCTTCTCTTTCCTGCTACTTTTTCTTGGTCTTCTCTGACGACAACCGTGTCCAAGACCAAGCAGTTCCATGCGTTCCTCGTCACTACGTCCTGCCTCTCCCTAGACCACGCCTTTTTGGCCGCGAATCTCCTCCGCTCCTATGCCTCCCATAACGACCTACTCTCTGCTCGTCGCCTGTTCGATCAATGTCCCCACCGAACCACCCTCCTCTGGAATTCCATCATACGAGCCCATGCTCGCCTCCGCCACTTCCCCCTTGCCTACACCCTCTTCAACAGCATGCGCCGTGATCATAGCGCTAAGCCTGATTGCTACACCTTTGCCTGTGTCCTTCGTGCCTGTGCGGACAACTCTGATAGCAGTGGTGCTGAGATGGTCCATGCCATTGTCCTGTCATCTGGTCTTGCCCTTGATCTTATAGTCAGCAGCTCCCTGGTTAGCACCTACTCAAAACTAGGCTTTCTCAACAATGCTAGAACCGTGTTCGATCAGTTGCATACACCAGATTTGGTGGTATGGAATTCAATCATTGCAGGATACGGGTACGGTGGTTTTTGGCAGGAGGGGTTGCAATTATTTCGAAGAATGAGAGAGACCAATGCAAAACCAGATGGGTACTCCATGGTTGCATTGATCTCCTGCATCTGGAATCCAAGCATTCTGCATTTTGCCAAAGGAATACATGGACTTTGCTTGAAAGGAGGGTATGATTGCAGCTCACATGTGAGCAGTGCACTTGTTACCATGTATGCCAGATGCAGGTTGATGGACTTGGCTTGTCAAATCTTCAGTTGTATATACCAGCCAGATCTGGTTACTTGGTCAGCTCTTATATCTGGTTTTTCACTGGCAGGACAATACAAGGAGGCACTAACGCTGTTTAGAAAAATGACTAGTTCAGGTAAAAGGCCAGATGCGATCTTAATTGCTTGTGCTCTCTCTGCTTGTTCTTCGATTGCAGCAATCAGACCAGGCAAAGAGATCCACTGTTATTCCATGAGGAGCAGCATCAATCTAGACACTGCAGTATCATGTGGTCTCATAGATATGTATGCGAAATGTGGTTTTCCTGAATTGGGATTTCAGTTGTTTGAATTGATGCCGGAGAAGGGTGTAATTGCCTATAATGCAGTTATATCAGGTCTAGGTTCCCATGGACTTGTTGACCAGGCTTTTTTTCTTTTTAAGTGGATGCTTGATAGAGGCTATCAGCCTGATGCTGCCACATTTTCAGCTCTTCTATGTGCTTGTTGCCATTCAGGGCTTTTGGATAAAGGATTGGAGCTCTTTAATAGAATGAGAGATGAATTTGGTATAGAGGTACAGATGGAACACTATGTGTACATGGTAAAGATTCTTGCAATGGTTGGTCGATTGAAAGAGGCTTATGATTTTATACATACAATGCCAAAGCCAGCAGATTCTGGTGTTTGGGGGGCATTGTTATGGGGTTGTAACATTCATGGTCATCTGGAGATGGGCAGAATTGTTGCTAAAAAGCTCTTTGAGATAGATCCAAGAAAGGCTGCATACAGAGTGATGCTTTCCAACATATATGCTGCCGAAGAGAAGTGGGAAGTTGTAAAGACTCTAAGGGATCAGATTGCAGTAGTAGGTTTGCAAAAGAATCCTGCATTCAGTTGGATTGGAGACCATGATCTATGACGTTACAGCTATTGTTTCTAAATTTTTACAGGAAATTCTATGTGGTGAGTGTTAGATAAACTCTGGCATATATGCTGATATCTTTGGAAAGACTACTTGTAGTAACTAAAGTTTGGAGAAATTTGGCTCCAATGACTTAGAAAACCATTGATTTTCTTGATGCATTTAGTAGTCATATTAGAATGAACAGATATGAGAAATCAGCTTGGATTACAAACTCATTTGGTTCTTTCATGGTGTCGGCACACTTGAATAGTTGGCTAACCAAAACTAATAAGTCAAAATAATGCAATTAGCTGAAGGTATTCCATGGTGTCCCTCAGTAGTTTGTGATCTTTAATTAAAATCAGTCGCATCAATTATCTTGGTTGCTTTGCTGGTCTTGCTTTTGGAAACTTAACCACCTAAACATTTTTAGATTTTTGGTTTTATCCTTGGAGACCAGTTGGTAGATGCCCAAAAGTAAAAAGTGACTGATGGAAAACAGATGTTCACCTCCAAACAAGAAGAAAACCCAGTGGTCCAATGAGACTTCCAACAGTGGAAGTAGTTTAAAAGAGATTAAAGCCGTAGCCCATCTATTAATATAGGATTGTTGTTTCAACTTTCAATTATATTTTACAGTTTTAGCTTTTATGAATTGCCAAATTGTTACTATGTTGACTTTTCAACTCTAATAAGTGTAACAGCATTGCTTATTGGAGCTAAAAGTATTTTGTCTCATATAATATATGAAAGTGCAAGATCAAAGGGTAGAAGGCGGACTAAGTTATGTGTGTCATACATGATGATAAAAAAACAGTCCAAGCTTGTGTTATAAGTGAAAGAAATAGAATGGCCTTTGTGTTCCCCATGTTTGAGAAGCAAGTGCACATACGCAGTTTGAAGATGGTGATCATGAGTAGATTCATCAAGTGTAGCTTGCAAAAGTGTACAAGACTAGTACTAATAAGACAAATGGAGTCTGTTTTGCATCAAGGTTCCAGAAAAATGCTTGCCTATTTGGTTTAGTTGGATCTGATTGTTATGAGATTAGTATTTTGGTCTTTGTTCACGAGTCTTTAGTAAAGAAAGTGATTTGACAATAAAGCAATCAACATTTGTGTAGCACAATGTTATTGAATCTCTGGATATTGTAAGATGCTTGCTTAGAAGCGCTGCTCACTACACCTGAACTTAGGTTTTGCTCTATAAATGACTATGTAGTAGTTGGAAAAAGGTTCAGTCTTTTAGGTTTCCATAGTGACTTAACACTTAAAGGATAATGTGTATGTTAGTAGATTCAGACTTCCTATCCAAGTTTACTTACACTAATATGCTGCACATTTTCCATTTTGATTTTGCTGGTGATGAAACGCTATAAGCTAATCTTCGTCTGCTTTCATAAGTTTTGCTTCCATAATTTATTTGCTTCCTTTTACAGGTAAAGTATGTTGAGACTGAGAAAGACTTACTGAAGAAAAAGGAGAAAGAGTTAAAAGAAACTATCAACAGCTTGCTTCAGTCGAGAGAAGCTTTCCTAAGCCATTATGAGGTTGGTTTCTTTTCTATTTTTATTCTTAGAATCAGGCATCAGGACATGGAGAATCTTAAATCTATGTAATACAAGATTGCCACTGTATAAATTGGGATCAAATTCATGATTAGTTCATTTCTTACAACATGAAGATAAATTAATAATGAACATAATTAACCATAAAGGATGTGTTTAATACAAATTATTATTTTCACTTTTAGAATCTTCTGCCCATCGTACATGCTTCATATTTGTACTTGTGTTTTAGCTCCTTATGTTCTAAATGTGTAATCCCATATGCAAGGTATAAGATATTCACCCACTTGTGGACTTATTTTTTATTATGTTCTCCTTGCTTTGATGGCTGGCAATTGAGCTAAAAAAATCTCGGTGGATTTAAGACCCAAATAAATTTTTTATGTTTGATAAAGTACTTATAATCTGTTTACCCAAATAAATTTTTTGTCTGATAAAGTACTTATAATCTGGTCCATTATGTTTTTGCATATTGTACATTATCCATGTTTCAACGGCTGATTTGTTAAGAAGCTTTGCCAACTTGTATTTGCATATTTCATTATATAATCTAAATAAACTGAGGTATGTCCAGGTTTATGTGGATTAAAAAGACTGCCTTTGAGGAGTTCCATACATGACTAGTGATATTCCATTGGAAAATCATCCTGTTGTAGACCTCTGTTGGAAGATTGCTGGTAAATTTTGATGATTATGAACTTGAAATGCAGGATTCTACATATCAATTGAAGCAAAGCATTCAAAAAAGGGACAGAAAGCTTGTGCTCCTTACTGAAAAGATACACACACAAATTCAGTTGTTTGATTCAATGGAGAAGGAAGCTGCTGCAATTAAGCAAGTTGTAAATACTGTTGAAGATACTGTAAATGGAAAGGAACAAGAAGGCTTGTTTCTCATAAAACCATATTGTCCATATCATCAATCACATTTAAAAATTGATTCTATTTTCTCCAACAAGCAGTTGAGGTTGTTTAATACTGCCCTTATACTTTTTTTCAGTTGCTAGATTAAAGAGGAAAGTAGACCAAATTTCAACCCTCGAAAAAGATTTTGTGGGTAAGCTCAATCCTTATTCTTTATTCTTGTTCATGATTTAAAATTTGAGAAGAAGCATATCTAATTTCACCACAACTTTTGGTGGTTCATTGATACAAGTTGTTTGCAATATAAAGTTGATGTAACAGGATAGCTAAAGGTTATCTCCTGCCTTCTAGAACACATACCTGTAATTATTGTCTGCATTTGATATTTTAAGAAGCAAGTTCTTTTGTTGTTTTCTTATGCAGAAGAAATGTTTGGTTTTGCCTCTAGACCATCTTATGACTAGGCCTGCTTAAATTATTTAAAGGCAACCAAGGTTCATGAGGCCTTGATAAATAAGTTATGCACTTTAAAACTAAGTTTATGCGTGGTGGCTGTACAGGAGGCAGTATCTTGTTGTAGATTTTGATGCCAGTCCTAAATTGTCATAGGATAAGTTTAGTTAAAGTCTTGGGTATGTTTCAACTAAGTTTCAGTCATGTTTATAATATTCTTGAGTTTTTTGGATTTTTTAATATTATATAGAAGTCCAATTTCAGTTGTACATTTGTTATATAGGCTCTAGCACAATTAGAAATTGCAATTTGAAAGGTCTAACCATCTAAATATCAAGCAGAATTTTGTCAGGTCATGAACTTTACTGTGCAAAGTCATTGCGGTGTGGGTCTCTTTAGTGGATCTCTAAAAGGCTAGTGGCTTTATCAGATGAGATCCATTGAAATCTCAAAGCCAAATCCTATAAGGATCCAAGCATGGATCATAATAAGGTAAGTACTGGAGTTGGATAGGATTTCAGCATGAATGTACTGATATTCTCCTCGCAATGTTGTTTGCAGTAAAATATTTAACTAACTACTTTCACATTAGTATGTTAGTATTTAATGTACTTGACATGCTTTTGTGCCTTTTTCAACAAACTTGTGTGATAGCCAAGTTTAAATTTTGTTCAAGACTAAACCAACTTGTCTTCATTATTTATTCAAGTTTGATTATCATATAGTTTTTCCCAGTTGTTATATTGTAACTAAAACATAATGCCCTCGAATGGGGATAGCAGAACTTCATTGCATTACTAGAAACTTTGATTTTGATGAATGATGCTTAGTAGCTCTATCAATTATTTGTATTATTTTCATATTTTCTTTGGCCAACATTTGTATTGTTGGATAACTTCGTTTGATATCTTTCCATCTAGAGAAGATTTTGCACCTCGAAAAGAAGCTTAGCAATTACCAGCTTGAACTTCGAAGGAGGGATGCTACCATTAATGAATTAGAGGAAAAACTTGAAGCCGCGAAATTCACTAACAATTTTCAGCCACAAATTGAAGAGATATCCAGATGATTCAGCAGTATCTACTAATTTTTTTCATCTTCACATTCACTGATCGCTTGTAGTCGACTGTTTGTCTTTCATGTTACCACCTCCAGAAAACTCTGCTGGTGAAAGATGAAGTTATACAAAGGTTAACCATAGAGAAGCAGGTTGATATAAATCTAGAGACTGTACTTTCCTTCTGATGGTGTTTCATTGTTGTTAATCTAGTTTTTTAATGTCAGACACTGTATCTTCACCTGGGGAACATGGAAGTTATGTCAAGGAAGATTCAGGACACTTTATTCAATGTGAATACTGAGGTTGAAGATTTATATATTATATATGGCTTTTATATTAATGAGTTCCATATTTTCAGATAGTTTTATCTCATCTTATGATATTGTTAACAGAATCTTTCTTTTTTAGATATAGATTTCTCAGCTAATGGTTGTCTTCTTCTCATTTCAGGATCATAAATTATTGTCCTCATTTATAGGAAGCCAAGAAATGTCTGAGATGATTAGCACAGCCAAAAATGAAAGGTTAGAATGTTGTTTAGTTCCCAAAATGCTTATGGAACAGCCAATATCATTGGGTCAAAGTGGAAGATGTTTATCCTAGCTACTGTGTATCAGTTTGGAGAATATTATCCAGGAAAATAAACAAAGATTGCCTTCTTCAACATGTAGATATCATCCAGGTTAGTCCCTTCTGTCAAAACTTTGTTGTTATTGCAAAGCGGTTATGAATAGTTAGTCCTTCCTCTGCATATCAACCATAAAGGAAGCTTAGAAATGGAATCATTATTTTTCTAGGATTTATCAAGTCAGAATACTCGTCTTTTCCTGTGTTTGTATCTCAAACACCTTTTTATAAAATATATTTGCTTACAGTGCTCACTCTCTGTTAGTTATAACACAAATCTGGAAGTTTATTGGTACAATACCTTAAAACTTTTATTAACCATTTGCAAATGATTTAAAATTCTTTTTTTTTATGTAAACATCTTATAGTTAAAATGACATATATTAAGAATTTAAAATATTCTATCTCCATTCTTTTTTTTAAATTTTACTATGCCACCTTGGCACAATCTGACCCATAAAAGAGGAAACGTATAGCCAAGAAGGTAGGCACCCAAGGCATATAGAAAATGCCATGAGGGCAAACAAAATGTAAGCAATAGGTGCACAAAGCGTTATTAAGAGGAATCAAACCCTCGACATGTTGAACTGTGATCATAGGCTCTATCTTCCGGGTAAAGGGACAGGAACATCCATTCGGCATCTCAAACACATGATCACAACTCATGATTTATACTTCTCAAATTAGTACTTAGTGCCCATTCATCATACTTGGTGCTTAAAAGTCACCATCAGTCCGTCTTTAGAATAAGCTGAAGAATGGTTTCCTTCTTTCTTGAGACTACCAATTTTTCTTGACAAGTTGCAATTTTCAACACTGAAGTAAAATTTTGTTAATAGTTTGTCAAGAACAGAGATAGTCAACAAGCAGTTATGGTTATCATTCCCTTGATGTACAATCGAGAATGATGATAAAAGGGATAGATAGAGGAGTTAGGCTTCTGGAAATCTAGTCCTATCCTATACACATTTTTCCAATAAATGAATCCAGTCTTGCATTATTTTTTCTGTAATTTATTTGGACAGTATATAATGTAAATTACAAATTTAATCACCTTCATACAGACATCTTTGTGCTTTAGAAGATGACCTACAGGTATCATGATTGGAATTGCTTCTCGAACATAATTAGTAAAATCCAGGTAAATATTGGGCAGTGTGTTTTATGAAGTATATTTGCTAGAACAAGATTTCAAGCACTTCTTTCTGTTGGAGGACTAGTGATTTGCTACATAGCTAAGTGGTAAACAAGCAACCATATGGATAATAATGTAAATCCATTCTGGTGTACCATTTAGCTGCAGACTGAAATTTTAATCCCTATTCACTGCTTTCAGAAAGCGAACCTTTGCATCAATCCATTTCTTGTATCATCTTTATAATATTCTTCATCTCTGGTTACATTCCTCCAAATCTGTAATATATATATGGATTGTAGCTGTTGGAAGCTTCTCGAATTGAACCATGAAGGTGTTGAACTTGTGAAGTAGATCCAAAACTTTTTGGGCTGCGAACTAGTTTCAGATATTAGTTTAGCCTGAAAAAGAAAACGTTGTTGTAGGACCTACCTCTATTTCGTATTGAGACTTAGGTAAACATATTGCCTAGTTTCAGATACAAAGCGAACCTTTGTATCAATCCATTTCTTGTATCATCTTTATAATATTCTTCATCTCTGGTTACATTCCTCCAAATCTGTAATATATATATATGGATTGTAGCTGTTGGAAGTTTCTCGAATTGAACCATGAAGGGTGTTGAACTTGTGAAGTAGATCCAAAACTTTTTGGGCTGCGAACTAGTTTCAGATATTAGTTTAGCCTGAAAAAGAAAAAGTTGTTGTAGGACCTACCTCTATTTCGTATTGAGACTTAGGTAAACATATTGCATCCTTGTTACTTAAAAATTGGGCTGTAAAAGTAATCTGCAAAATAATGTAATGGTCAAGAAGAAACTCTTTGAAAATTATTTTTGTGGAA